CACACTTCAATTCTTCTTCCTCTGGCATCCAAGCTCTACATCTCCACCCTGCTTCATTCCCATTTTCTTGAACAAATGGCTAACTCATCCATCAGACAGATTACAAAAGACCATCCAGGCTTTTAGAGTGTTGGCGCCATTAAGCCATCTCCCATGCATGGCTAACTGACCCTTTTCGATTATTCAATTGCTGACTCTCAAAGCTTACTTCCTACAAAAGTGGGGAAAAAAATAACAAAAACAAATTGGGGTAGACAAAACACATGGGTGAATGCAAAGAAAATTATCATGATAAATATGGTAATAATAAGAATAATATTAATTGCGTTAACTGTGAACAGGGCGATGATCATTGTCTTCAGTGTAATAATGATGGCAATAATAACCATGATAATATTGAGAAAAGCAATAATCATCATTATGAAATGATTATAAGAATGGAAAAGAAAATGGCTTCGATAACAATAATGATCATATTTATAATAATTCTACTTTTAATGCTCATAAGAGGAATAACGATAATGCTTTTCTCATGAGACTTAATATTAGAAATATTAATGAAATAAGTGATGTGTGAAGAGTGTAAGTGTAACTGTAGAGAACATGGAAACAGCAGGCTGAGTTCAAATTCCAGCCTAGTCAGTTGCATTCACTTTTGCACAAATGCCCTTGGAAAAAGGCAAGAATCCATATTTTTACACTACAGTTAAATAAGTGTAGACTGGACTCTCTTTGGGTGGAAACCAGTTGAAGAATAGAAAAACTCTAAACTCCAAACCATGGAGAAAGCAATGGGAAATCACACCACTATTTTTTCCAAAGAATGCATGTCCATTCACAGAAAGAAAATGGATCTTTGGAGAAACCTAATCCCCTATGTCCTGAAGAGATATAGCATTTCACTCCAAGCAAAGCAATAAAGCAACTAAAATGCAAATTTAAAAAAATTAAATGTGAATAATTAAAAATAATACTATTATTGTCCAATAAACAAATGCAAACAACTATGTTAGCTTTATTATTAATTTTTAATTAATATTTCTCTCCCTTTATTTCATTATAAAGATTCTGGCTTGTTAGCTTATATAGCTTCTTTGATAAGGCACTGTGGTTGTAAGAGAGGCTCTCATCAAAAAAGATTAAAGTTTGAATCTCGCAGGTAGTTTATACTTTAATACTGATCTTTTCTGCTTATCTAATTAAAAAAAATAATTAACTAACAATTATGATAAAAAGCAAAAGAAAAAAAAGAAAGAAATACTAGTAAAAAAAATGACAATGCTTGATGATGAAATTTAAAGACTTCCATGTAATTCAACTTTATTTTTATGTTTAGTATTTTCAGCCAAATAAGCCAAGAAATAAGGTTATCAGATTGGATAGAGATTCCATATTAAGAGGATTATATAACAGGCAAAAACATGATATTATAAATTATTATTATTATTATTATGAGGAGGAGGAGGAGGAAGTTGATCTTTGATATAAACTGAGAAAAAGCAAGAGAAAATATAAATATGAAGATTAAACTTGAGAACTATGAAAATTTTGCATAAAATTTTTACAAAGTTCTTTGGAATTGCTTCTTGAGTTTCATAAGTGGAATGCAAGAAGCAAATACAAAAAAAAAATATTCCAGAATGTACTGAGAATAGAGAAAACTTGCTGTCACTTGATTCTAACAATACCTGTCAGAAAGCAACAGTGTGAACATAGAAAAACAATCAATGAGATATTAATGGAGGAGGAGGAGGAGGCAAGAAAAAGAAGAAATGAACCAAAAATCAAGATTGGAAAACAAGAAGACTTAAAGTAAAAAGATGATGAATGAAGATGAAACAGATAATGGATATGAAAGAATAGAAAATGAGATAACATGCCGATGATAAAAATTCTGAAGAGTAATTGAGAAATAGAATGTAGAAGGAGAGGAAGACATGAAAAACTAGAAATACAGAGATGAAGAGGGCAAAAATAATAATCATGTAGAAGTGGGGGGAACAGAAAAGTGAAGAAGAAGAAGAAGTGAAAAAAGAAAAAAGAGGAAAAGTGGAAGATGAAAAGGAAAATAGTAACATAAATAAGAAAAATTGGAAGAAGGATCAGGAAAAAGAAAAACAGTGAAGTGAACCTTAAAAAAAATAAAAAGAGACAAAATAAATGCAGTAAAATCTAAAATATCAAGAAAGTGACAAAGATGAAGAAGGACAAAATTGCACAGCCTTAGTATGACTTTTTCTTAGTATGACTTTTATAAATACTAATCATAAGGTGCATTATGAACAAGGATAAAAGAGAGTTTTTAGTTGAAACAGAAGAAACAATGAAGTAAAAAAAAAATATAAAAGCAAAATAATATGTACAAAAAAAAAAAAAAAAAACAATTCTTGCAGGTTGAATAAACATTAAAAGACATTTATCTTGTTACCATCATTTAGAATATACATCCAAATCTTTTTTTTCTTCCATGAAAATGATGAAGGTGTTTACTTGATCTCTGAGAAGTTATGTCAATGAAAGACTTTGTGGATAATGATTTACATGACACACATTAAACACACATGAGAAAATTTGCATTTGGCATTCATGGGGATTAAACTTTATTATCCATGACAATCTCAATCTTTTAGTAGATGACATGTAAATCTGTCTCTCTATTTCAGTTCCCTAATATATATGTATCTAAACCCATTCATATCTATCTTTCTGTTTATATATATAAATAATGAAATACATACATGTAGGTAATTTATATATGATTCATAAATAAGGGAGTAACCCCAGATTCAAGGACAAAAGATCTTGAGAAAAGAAAACTGAATGAATTGGCTAAATTTATTAAATAAAGTTTTTGTTAAATGTGTATCTCACATTTCTATTCATTTTTTGATCATCATTATTTCTGCTTTACTTTGAGGAAAATTTGTCTTGTTTGAGTGAGTTTTGAATCCACACACTTATATATATATATATATATATATATATATATATATATATTATAGATAATAATGTAATACATAATGGCAAGCCATTTATTTCCTAGGGTGGCTAGCAATCCCTATTGCAACTCCTTGCTGAGATACATTTGTGCATGTTCAAAGCCCACAGAGCCCACATATGTCTTATACTGCTGATCAGGGACTAGGGCATTTGCATAAGTGTGTATCGTCCTTCTGTGTGACAATACCGCACAACAACCGACAGAATCCAGCAATGTTTAGAATATTTTATTTTACCCACAACATTGTCCTGACTTAGGTTTCTTTAGATATCATTTATCTGGACCCTGAAAATGATATTTATCAAGAAAGCAGTTCCATATAGATGATACTGTTGTTGCAATAGTGTAAGGGTGGCTCCACTTTATTTGATGCTACATTCTTCAAGGAGGTTATTCATGTACCATTAGACCAAATGCATCAATCTCAAGTAGCAGAGGCATGCTGATAAAATATACATACAATTTTATTTCGTACTGTAATAAACGTTTTCAAATAGTAAATGTTTATACCTATCTTTTGAAACTGAAATATTGTATTGGATAAATTTATATATGAGAAAAATATTGGTATGATGCAAACTGCTGAATTTTTCAACTTATCATTTTTTAAAAACATAATTCATGATATAGAAGGTATGAAGTTAAAACAAATAAAATAGAACAAATGTGTAGTAACTGTTATGATGACAGTCAAGTGACAGATTCTTCTTTCTATGATGTAACTCAATTCTGCATGATATTTGAAGAGGTAACAAGAACCAGAAATTAATATGTAGATATTATTTCAAACAAATTTCTCTCAGCCAAATCATATGATCATTAATTATATAATTAATATTTGTTACCCCTTTACATTTTTGAAGAAATAATGAATATTTTCTGGTAAATAATTGGAAAAATTATTTTTTATTTTATAATAGTAATCTATTAGAGCATGAATGTACTGGTGGACATTTACTTTTGTTTTTATTCATGTACCTTTGTCCAGTGACCACATGTTCTTTGTATTTCCAGATAGATAAAATTTATACTTATTTTATATATACAATGAGAAAAATGATATTTGACAAAAGATAGAAATATCAAATATATGAGGCAATAAAGAGTTGATGAAATCATAATTTAAGTAAACCTTTAAATGTTATTCTCTTATCTTAAATTCTACAGGTATCTTGGCTGTTTTGTTTTTGGTTGTTGTTGTTTATTTCAGGTATATATTTTAACATAGTGAAAAAGCAAAGTGTGCAAACAAAAAAAACTAGAGATATATGTGATCGAGTATGTGTACAAATCATACTTCTATATACAAGGAGGTACTGAAAAATTTTACGGCTGACCAGGAAGCCTATAAAAAATCTGATATCTGTTCATTTGGTTACATTTTGAAAAATCAGTCAGCCAAAAACTTTTCAGCACCCTCTAATATATATGCGTGTGTGTTCATGTGTATTGAGTTGAAACAAAAGTTTGTAGTGTTTTTCAATAGGTGGAATTTAAACATGTGATTCCATTTCACACATGATTAAAATATATACATATTCTAAAAGGTGACATGCCAATGTACCTTTTTACATGATTCATGTGTAGACTGTAAAATTTAAGTTTTTTTATGTTAAAAGTGAAAATTAAGGAAAATGAGATGCATTTTTGACATGTGAGTCTTTAATTCTGGAAAGGAAAAATAAAACACTGTATAAACAGTAAAAAAGATATATGACATTTATGGGGATGGTGTCAGAAATTTTGATCTGAAAAACTGGCAGTTACTTGTAATGACTAAGGTGAAATACTGATTAAAAATAATGCAGATCACATGAAATAGGAGGTCGCAGATATACTCTGCTCAAACACAACAAAAAAACAACCCAGTTTTTAAAAAAAAATATGATTTGAGTGGTAAAGCCTTCTGAAGAATACTGTGTAAAGCAAAATATGGAAAACAGTTTACAAACTGAATATTTTAACATTCATCTAAGAGAGCCTCTCTTTCTATATGGGCTTACAGCCATATCAGGCTGAAACACTGGTTCACATACAATCACTGAAGTTAAGCAACATCAAGCCTGGTCAGTTTCTAGATGGGTGACCATTTGAGAATACCAGGTGTTGTTAGCATGGATGTGCAGGTGGTGTAAGGAATAATGGCATGGAATTGTTAATCAGAGAACAGAGTTCCAATTTCTTTTATTCCACATTCACTTATGCACAAAATATTCTTGGGAAAAGTATAAATCAACCGCTTCTCACCCCAATTATGAATTAATTAGTAGGACTTGTATCACTAAACCATTATTATCTAAACAAAAAAACAAAAACAAACAAAAAACATTGTTACAAGCTAAGAATATTTTCTGGCTTTAAATAACCTGGAAAGGTTGATAAACCATAGAAAAAAAATTAATTAATTAATCTTTCCATATGGACAATATACCTGTAGAGCACTATAGAATAGATCAACCTAAAAAAAATTGGGAATGTCAATGACTCTTCTCAAAGTTATAGGCAAAGGAATGTTTTGTTTGTATGACTTCATATACACATATTTACATAGATGAATAAATTTCTATGCAACAGACATCTGTAAAATTTACAAATAAATCAATATACTGATCCATAAACACATTAACATTGTTTTAAAAATATTCTAAAACAGATGTTGAACAAGTCAATGTTTTATATTTGGTAATTGTTGATACAAAATGATAAAAATCAACAAACACTTTGTGAATTTAGAACTGTGCCAATCTAAAAAGGCACCAGATTTCAACCAATCATGTCACAAGAAAGTTTTACAGAAAACTTCATATAAATCACTGCATTATTTTTGAGAGAATTGAATATTCTGTCTGGTTTTAATGACAGAAAGCATCTTTGTTTCATATGGAGCTGCTGATAGTACAATTTAATTTTAAAATAATTCTATCTGGTCTGTCAGAAGCTGACCTATTCTGGGCAATATTTACAACTACAAACCCTAAATATTTCTGAAATACTTGTAGTCTTCACATTAATAGTCCCAGGATTGTTGATTTTTGTAGTAATTCCCTATCAAATATCTGTTTTGCAAGGTAAATCTAATCAACCAGAATATCTTTGTTGCAGTTTGACCAACATCTGACTTGAACCTATCTTGTTTATATTTGTCCAAAACACTTCATATAAACATTTGATCAATGACATCAATGAAATATAAAATATAATGCTCTATAGATCTCTGATCTCAGCTGTCCCCAGACACCAAATATTACAACAAACAAATTTTCAGATAAATTCACCACTGAAAATTTTCACCAATAAAAAGAATAGGTCTTCAGGAGTCAACAAAACAAAAAAGTAATTATAAGTCAAAAGCACACTTAAAAGCAACAAAAATTGTTTTTTTATTATCATGATGTAAATATATCAGCCTTTGGACCTCACTTAAAGAAAAATACAAACTAATTGATAAATAATCCAAATGGAAAACTAACAAATTTTTGGCAGGAAAAAGAAAGTAGATATTTTATTTAAGTTTACCAAATTGATGACATCTTAACTTTTTAGAAGTAGATTCTTCTGGCTCTGTTTTAGAGATTATTCAAAATATGTATTAAGAAACAGGAAATTTTCATTAGAAACAAAGAAAAAAGTACTGAACTGTTACATAATATCAGTCATCCTATATGGCATTGAATGCTGGACAATCTCCTCACAGATGAAGTAGAGACTTGAAGCAACAGAAATGTGGTTCTACAGAAGGATGCTAAGAATATCATGGACTGAACATGTAAGCAACAACGATTTTTTGGAGAAAATGGAAACAAAAAGGGTGCTTCTACTTAACATAAGAAAAAACAATTGAAATTTCTACAACACATAATGAAGAAAGAGGGCTTGGAAAATTTTATACTCACAAGGTAGATTGAAGGTGAGAGTGATATAGGAAAACAGTTAAAACCTGTTTAGCAAGCTTATGTGAATTGATGACAGAACAGGGTTTAAGAGAAATAACAAAAAAAAATAAAATTTATTAAGAGCTACAAAGAATAGGAAATTGTGGAGAGCCATGATCACCAACATATTAAAGGAACAAGGTGCATAGAAGAATTCTTGTCTCTATCAATTTGTTCAGTCTGTGGCTGCTTCTAATATTGAGTTAAGATTCAATAAGTTCAATTAAGTTACTCTAATAATAGCCAATTGGATAAAACAAAAAAGCTTAAATGGGAATTGGATGGTCATCACTTTTCTAATGTTGATAAAGCTGGTACTCTACTTGTCTAAATGTGTTCTTCAAACTTATACATTAATAAAAAGAAATGGAAAAACAAAACAGGTAACTAAACAAACTTTTGCCAACTTTATTTTTTAATTTGATGAAAATTGTTTTTCTGTTTCAATTTTGCCCACTATGTGTGATATCATTCTCCTTAGCTGCCATATCCATTCAAGATATAGGCAATCTAGGCTCTTCACAGCTTCCTTCTCTTTAATATCTGTAAACTCCATATTATTGTTATTATTTTGGGTAAAGATAATGAAGTTGTTTCTTGTTCCCCATTTCACAGTTTTGAATATAGAATTATGTCTTTCTTCTAGACTCATTGCCAACCACAGTGATGAGGATGGCCATGAGCAGGAGGAATGAAATTTGTCTCTATGTGAACCCCATGGAGTATCCATGGTGATACTCAGCCAATTCAGATCATCTGTGATGGTCCTGGGGTTTGGGAGCAACAAGAGTTATGCTGCTCAGTTTTTTCATGCAAAACTTCAAGATCACTTGATGCTACCTACATCTTGGCTGCATATAAACACAATCAAACTTTGAATTGACAAGTGGTTGATAATTTTCACAATCATGTCACCACCAACTACAGGTGGTCTTGTAGCATTTGAATCCCATGGATTTACTAAAATAGAGGGATAGTGGTAATGGTGATATTAGCTGTTTCCTAACGAGGAAACATTCAGCATTCATTGACCGAACAGTCACTGTTACTTTCAGTTTAAATTTAAAAGATATTTCTCTTAAAACAATTTTTCAAGAAAAGTTTTTTCTCAGGACCTCTGTTGTTCTTTGAAGGATTGATGGGAGTTTCCTTCCTAATCTTTTGTTTAAAGTAGTATGGTATGTTAACATCTTGATGATGTCATTATTTTCTCTTCCAGTTACATGTGCTATTCATTTTAGTTGTTGCTTCTGTTGAATGTGCACAAGTGATGTGGTTTCTATTATTTGGTACAGTTCTTTCTTTGTTATTCTGTAGTGCCAGTTCACAATGGTTCAAAGAAGGATGATCCACATAAGACCTACAGGTTTCATTCATGCAAAGCAATTTTTAAATATGGATCTAAGAGGTTATCTACAGCTGAATTTGAAAGTATTGCGATGACTAATCTATTTAAGAACACTCAAAGTCTTTAAGTTAATGTTTTGTTGCAATTTATTGTTTTGGGCAAAACTAGCACAGCCTAATCTGTATTCACTTTCATTATCTTCTATACTAAATTTGTTATAACTGATCCACACACTAAGGTACTTGAAGTGTTTAGTATTTACTAATTCCACATGTTTATGATGGATTTAGGGTACATATCTGTTGCAAAAATTGGTTGGAAGCAAACACAGGAAAAGAAAGGTAGTATGAGTCTAATAGATTCACTAGGCAAAATAAATCCACACTTCTTGCCTCAATCTCCAAGACACCATTCACCGTCCCAAAATGACAAGCTGAATGAGTGTACCATGTTTTTATACACCTGACCCAGCTAACACTCAGCCAATGAGCACCCAGAACCAGCCAATAAAACTGTCTACAAGTGACACCATTTCCATCAGCATGAAGTGCTGTCCAATTCACCGTCTCCATACTCCCTTGTAAAACATACATGCAACTCTAGCCCTTTTCGGTCACTGAGGTAAGTCACCACTACAGTGTCCCCACTGCTTTCTTTCCAATTCCAGATTATAGTTTCTGTTTCAGAAAGGTTTATTGAAATATTTGGTAGAGGATTTTGATTTTTTGTTCAAGATCATTCTTATTCCAACTATGAATATCTATGTCATCTGCATAGGACCCTCCTTCATCATCAGTACATAGACTCTGAAAGGGAAAGCAGGATTGCCATTTTCTATCAGTAGATTCATTTGTAATTTGTTACAGAATGCTTAAATGATCAGTGCTCATCTCTTCACATCTGTGCTTGTATATGCTCAGAGTATAGTGTAGAAAAAGATTAAATATACTGGAGTTCTGATTTCCTTCTTTTCTTAATCATGAGGTTTGAAATGTTTCCATATTGGGTTTTTCACTAGACATGTATGACTTTCTACAAATTCTGAGTTCAGATGGCAATTTCTTATTGATGAGAAGAGGCAGTCTCTATTTATATGGCTATATGCTGCTGTGGGTCAACATAGCAAATATACAATTTGCCCATTTTATTATAGGAGATGAACAGAAATGGTAGTATCAATTCTAGGAGACAGTGTTGGAGGAAGAACTTCAATGAAATGCATGGCCACGCATTGGTTTAGTGTCCCTTCACTTGCTGTCTTAGCCCATTTATAGAACCTGCATGTAGGAAGCATATTGACACTTTGAATTTTCTGTGATCCTAACTTCACATCCTTTTGATCTTATATCCGAAACTTGGTCAAAGATGTTACATCACTGTCAGAATATCATGCCCATAAGGTATTCTGACCAAACACCAACCATCCTGGCTCAGCCTCTGCATTTTGTAAAGTCAAAATACACCATACGAAAACAACAAGTTGATGGAAGCAATGTGATGGTTTGAACAATGTTCTATTGGAAAGTATTGAATCCTATCATTTATAAGGAAGATACTTTGTCATATGATATATGTCAACATTATGAAAAACCAGGAATAAAGTTGTTTATGATGGTAGTGTTATCTTTTAGCAAGACAATGCACTGAGTTGAAAGAGAATGGATTTAAGAAAAAAAGCTTCATTCTGTTGTCCTGGCAACCAAGCTTTTCAAATCTTAATTACATTGAACCCTTTTGGGATGTGGTGGGCTGACACATAAACAGCACATCATTTTTTGCATGTAATTTGAATTATCAAAGACTTCAGGAAATAGCAATCTCTCAATATTTAA